AATTCTGGAAATGCTTGCTACTTCTCAGTTCAAAATATTTTTGTCTTCCCATCTGATTTCTAAGAACCTGAAGATTAAAATACAAAACAATAATTCTGCCTTTTGTTTTGTATGGTTGTGAAACATGGTCTCTAACTGTGAGGGAGGAACACAGATTGCAGGTGTTTGAGAATCGGGTGTTGAGGAGGATATTTGGGCCTAGGAGAAAAGATGATGGGACATGGAGAAAACTGCATAATGATGAGCTTAAAAATTAGTACTCCTCCCCCAATATTGTCAGGGTTATTAAGTCGAGAAGAATTAGGTGGGCGGGGCATGTAGTGCGCATGGATGGGATGAGAGGTGTGCACCAGGTATCGGTCAGGAAGCCTGAAGGGAAGAGACGTCTGGGGAGAACTAGACGTAGATAGGAGGTAATCTCAGGCAGGATCTTTGGGAGATAGGAGTTGAAGGCAATTGGATTTTATTGGACCACAACGGGATCCGGCAGAGGGCTTTGGTTAATTCGGTAATAAACCTTTGGGTTCCCTAAGCCTTCTAGTTGGTTAACTTACAAATGCTATCAAGAGCGCAAGAATTCTATATTTTCTTAATCTGTCGGCTGTATGAAGTGGTTCATGTAATACTCAACCTTTTCATACTATAAGGTGTTTTTAATACAAATTCGTGTTTTAAAGTTCTTCATAATACAAATGAAATGTTAAAAGAATTTGCTTGATATGCGCCGGAATTGATAAGGGTACATTTCTTGTTCGAATGAAGGACATTTTGTCGTAATGTGGGACATTTCCAGTCATTAATTGGCTACCCTGGTAAATGTGTTTCTGAAGTGGAAGTAGGTGAACGGAAGGGAATGTGACTTCGATTTAATCGTCTGTATAAATTAAAGTGGTGGGAGTAGCAGAAGGAGGAAGTTTAATATTTTGCTGATTTAATTAATTTGTTTGGAGCAGTATAATGGCTGATGACGAATTTGATGGTGACGAGTATGTAAAATACAGTTATTAGTTGTGTGATTCGGTATTGGAATATGACATGGTTTGTTGCAATGTTGGTTATGAAATTGCGTGCCCAGAGTTAGATCTTTTAGTTTTGAAGCGCAGATCTCCGAGTAATTCATATTGTGGAGCATAACCTAGAAATGTAATTGTTTTTCGCAGGTTGCGAACTGTATGATACATATGCACTTCCATATTTTGTTAGAAGGGCTTGGTTAATAAATTTGGTTTCGTCTTATTTCAAGTTTTTGACAGGTTTCATAACCATAATTCGCATTTTTAAATGCTAACCTTATGTTGAGCCTAGTAAACATAAATGAAACATGAATATTTTGACATGTGCAGTAAGGATATTTGCAACCCTGTACTAAAAGTGATTTTTGAAAATATGCAAGAACCGTGTAAGAGTTACTGATGAAGCCAAATGGCATCATCAAAGTAAATAATGAACTGGATCAGCAGAATAAATACTGTTTGGAACATTTTGGAGCATTTCCATTAAATTCATTTAATGCCTAAACCCAGTCTCAACAACTGCTAAGGAAATGAATAACATTATTCAGTCTGTTGAGAGGCAAAGTTCATCTGGGCATGATGAAACATGTAGCAATATAATAAAGAAGTTACACTGTCTTTGGTGTCTTAATGTTGAACCTGAATGTCACATTCATTAATACCTGCTTGCTAAATTATAGGCCTGTTTATATTTTAATTAGGTTCTCTAAAATATTTTAGGATTTTCTGAGCAAGGAAGTAATGCATTTTGGTTAGTGAACAGTTTGATTTGTTGAAAGACATCTGCACTGAAAGAGTTGTGTACAAACACAAGATGTCACAAATGTTAACAGATGTTTTATATCTGTGGTCTTACTGAAGTTTTGACTGCATAAAATAATCATAGTATATTAATGACTTAAACCAGATTATGCAGTAGCTGGAAATGATAGCATAGGAAAACATTGTATGTTATAAACAGAAGGTGGAGAGTTTTTGCAAAGATCTCCAAATGTTAATGAAATCTTTATGTTAAAAAGGACAAAGTCCAACATGAAGTTTCTTGGGGTCTGACATTAGGACCACTTTCTTTCTGTCGTGTATTAATAATGTACCATCAAAGTTCCTTTGACATGCTGGCAATATTGCGCTGATTGCATTACATGACTCATTTTTTTTTTCCTTTATTTATTTCTACTTCAAGTGTGTAAGTGCTAGTATTTGCGTTGTGTTTTAGTGGTGGAGATGATTTTGATGATGTCGTGGACGAGGATGAAAACATTGATGAAATCGATCAGCAAGAGGTAAGAACATTTTAAAATGTGTCAGCTTATTAACAAAAATAAGTTATTTTGTGACCCTTTCTCCGTATGGACGCCGGCATCAACAGCTAACTGCGATGAAAGAATCCAGATGTCGATCAGCCCTCCATTTTATGTGATCCTGATCCAACTTAACCCATTTCATATTTTGTTGACATATCTCCCGATGAGTTCGCCACGGTGGTCTAGCGGTCAGAACACTAGCCTTGTAAGCCTGGGGTCCCGGGTTCAATTCCCGGTGGTGCTCAAATTTATAACTTGCGTTGGGCAAGGCCGTGGTCTAAGCATCACGGAGTTTTCCTCCGGGGGCATCCCAACAATTACTCCACTCACACACAGAAGAAGGCAATGGCAAACCACTTCTGATTATCTCTGCCAAGAATGTATATATGTATGAGCAGGTCCCTGACAACCTGAAGAGGTTGGAAGGATCCTGTTCATATTATATGGACCTGTCGTCAGACAGAACACTACAAATAAAAAAATCTCCCGATGATACATTTTAATATTATAATCCGACCCTTCTTGGTCTGCCAGGTGGCTGCTTTCCAAGAGATTCCCTGCATTAATTGATTTCGCATCATAACAGAACAGTTTCTGTTATTTGTTATTCTTATTTTATTTCATATGCGAATAAAGGTGAGTTAAAATCAACGTTCATAAGTATAATAAATTGTTCTCGGGTTACCAGCCTCATTACCCTGAGGTCGAGGTCGAAGATGGTTCACGAGACGTTGGTTTTGTCGCCGTTGAACCGCCGGACATGGCTGGTAGACCAAGAAAAATTTGTTATACCTTCCTGCCGTGAAAGCTCCCGATCACACAGATATTCATAAGATTGACAAAATTGTTATTTACGGTTTACTTTCAACTTAAGTCAAGAAGTGTATTCTCTTACACCTTTAACGTTAGTATTTCATATGGAAGTTACAGGTGAAAGAAGGTAATTTTAGAATGATTGTTTTGTGTTCTCATATGTAATTGAATGTTAATGGGGTGGGCGCTTAACCGATCGTAGTTCCACGACAATTTTATGATGTTTTGTGCGTCGTCGTACTCTTTTATGTCTTGGTAACCCGGCATACATAGCAGGATCTTGTAATGAACATTTGGATTTGTAAGTCGCTTTCTCGTGTGACGAAATCAGAAGAAATGTCTTCCTTGCTACTGTAAGCTTCCCAAAGTGGTGCACCATAACTACTGGCTCCCTACTGTTAGGACAGAGTTACTAAAATCTGTAAGATTTGAGGTTTTCATTGCGGTCAGTCTGAAGATGACAGTCTTCTGGGTTTTTGCGCCATGTAGTCTGGTAGAAGTTTACCGACGTTTCAGAGGTCATACTGCCTCCGTCATCAGGACGATGAGTATTCCAATTGCGTGGGTGGGGCTAGGTTTATAGGAGCCGGAAACGTTAGTAAACATCGACCAGACTACACAGCGCTACAACCCAGAAGACAGCCATCTTCTTACTGAAATCTCTTTATCCAATACAGATTGTTCAGTTTTGGAGTCATCTTACAGTTACTTCTGCTCGTGAATTTATCTACATATATCACGTAATTTGTTTAAATCAAGAGCACTTTCAGAAAACTGCTCATATCTGTTCAAATTTATATATTGAATAATCTGTTTAAGTGCTTGAAGTGTCTTCATTGCTTGAATTAGTTGTTTACTTAGAATATATTTGCCATCCCCTTCACTGTGATTCTAGTAATGTTCTTCGCTGTTTCAAACTTCCGTTGTTATTAGTAGCTACGTAGTTTTTGTATCTCTGTACCTGATAATACAAGCAAATGCTAATACGCAAATGTCAGTGGGAATGTAAATACATTGTTCAGTCCTCATGTTTACATTTAAAAATTACCGACCTGTGATAACAAAAGCGTAGTACCAAAATGACATGGAGGTAACGTGAATAAAATTCATTACTTTGTACTCAAATTTTCCTCCTCCTCCTCCTAAGACACCGTACTTTATGTGGGTCATCTGACGACCAGTTCTCTCCACGTGTCTCTGTTTTCTCGTAACTCTGCCACCTCCTCAATGTCTTCTCTTGGTCTCCATCTTGGACGTTTTCCTTTTAGTTTCATATTCAAAACTGCCTTTGGGATTCTCTCCTGGTTTATTCTTAAAATATGCCTGTACCATCGTATTATTTGTTATCATCTTACCTTTCAAGGTGTTTAAGTTCTCTTTGTTTTTAAATTTCTTAATCTGTCTCTTTTTCCTTTCCCTTCTATGTTTTTGTTAAATGTCTTATCTCAGAAGCTGGCAGAGTTTGTTTCAAATGGGTAAATCATCCTCCTCTTACACATTTCTTACACCCAGATCACGCCCCTTACTAACTGAAGACATTTTCATGCATTCTTTATTATTTGTGCAATTTCTTCTTCTGTAAGTGCAACTTGTGTTTCCGTTCTGTCTCCTAAATACCTGAAGTGACAGTAAGTGTTCTGCTGTGTGGCAGGATGAAGGAGAAAATATCGACATCCTGGCAGCCGGGGACGCCCGAGGTGGGGTTCAGAAGTCAAAGAGGATCACCACTCGATACATGACCAAGTACGAGAGAGCCCGCGTGCTTGGAACAAGAGCCCTGCAAATTGCGATGTGTGCGCCAGTGATGGTTGAATTGGAGGGAGAGACGGACCCCCTTCAGATCGCCATGAAGGAGTTGAAGCAGCGTAAAATTCCCATAATAATTAGGCGTTACTTACCGGACAACAGTTACGAGGACTGGGGGATAGACGAGTTGATAATTATAGACCACTGACATCTCCTTTGTGGTTTTTCATGTCACGCATTTGGGACATTTTCTGTCCTGCGAGCTGTTTCTTTTTTATTTTACTTATGTAATATTGACATTTGTGTAATATCAATATTAAATGTTTGACTCGTCATGTGTGTTCTGACTTCTTGGTTACTGAACCAATATTTAGACTTCTTGATGATAAAAGTCAGATATTCTTTTATCAATAATATCTCTTCATGAAATAAGACGGGGCAGAAATACGGATGTGTGGTTCCGTATGCTGTCGATTTCATGGTTAGAGCGCCAGGATGCTTTGTAGTCCGAGCCGTTGACAGCATAGTTAATTGAACCGTAAATCCATTAATAGTCCCAGAAAAAAATGATTTTTTTTTCACGCCTTACTACTTACATAGACTTACAGAAGCCAAGTCTAGACTGGTAGGAGTGCAAAACTTGGTGACCTTGGAAACTGGAAATCTCACAAAATGGCAGCATTACATGAAATGTAAGGTTCTCATGGCAGTGAAAATGTTGATGTTGGTGTTCTGGATTTGTTTTGTAAGGCTGTGTCGACTTGTAGGTAGATGCCAACATTTTGGAGGAACATCCTGCCTCCATCTTCGGGTTGTTACAGTTACTTCTCAATGCAGTCTCTTTATAAACAGAATGATCTTTTAGAGTGGTGTGTGGAGTGACTAATCACCCTGATGATGGAGACAGTGAGAACCTCCGAAACGTTGGTAAGTACCATGATCCCAGAAGACAGCTGCTTCCATACTCGTCGCCATGAGAACCTGATATCTCACTGAAGGAGCGAAGTTCGCAAGCATCGTTGATGGATAAAGTGATGACAGCGCCATGGCTGGACGACAAGGGTACGTACACCAGCGGAGTCTGTGGAATCTACCCAACCTCCACTCTACTGGGATTGTTTTCCTGGGGACAAGGCGGCCGGAGCTTGAAAATCCATCTCATGGCGAAGTTATAATTTCATGGAGCATTACCTTGGCTTGGACGAAGGCCTTTGCATTTGGATTCCTATTCCCCCCCAGCGAATTTCTAGTCGCGACAAATCCTTCCTGTCAGAATGACCTTGTGCACTGGTGGGGGTCGTCGTGCTGACCAAACAGGTAGCAAGCGACTGGTCCGCCATCCTTGCCTCGTACGTGGGGTTGGGGGGGGGGGAGGAGACATGCCAACAGATGTGTCGCTCTGTATTTTCCTCCACGTGGCAGAAAACGCGTGTTTGTTAATGCCATTTGGGAACTATAGACCGGTCAGTTTAACCTCGGTGGTTTGCAAGCAAATGGAGCACGTTATAGCAGGGTATCTAAGGCAAGTCTGGGAAAGGAGTGAGTGGTTATATGAGGGTCAACATGGGTTTAGACCAGGGTACTCATGCGAAAGTCAAGTAGTCACGGTTTGTCAAGATGTTGCTGATTCATTGGACGAGGGAATCAGGACTGATGCGGTTATAATAGATTTCTCAAAGGCATTCGATTTAGTCCCACACGATAGGCTGATTACAAAAATTGCTGCAACCGGTGTGGACTTGAGAGTAGTGTTATGGGTAAAGGAATTTCTCTTAGGACGTTCGCAAAGAGTAAGAGTGGAAGGACAGCTATCTCATGAAGTCAGGGTAACGTCAGGAGTGCCGCAAGGGAGCGTATTAGGTCCCTTGCTATTCCTAGCTTATGTTAATGATATTTGGAAAAACATTGATTCAAATATACGGCTTTTCGCTGATGATTGTATAGTATACAGGAAAATAATGGATAGTAGTGACATTGATAAGTTACAGACAGATATGAATAGATTATGGGAATGGGCGGTAGAAAATGAAATGAAGATAAATCCAGGTAAAAGTAAAGCAGTCAGCTTCAATAGAGCTAGGGTGAAGGATAAGCTGAGTTACTTTTTTGGGGATCAATTAATTCCAGAGGCAAATAGCTTTAAGTACTTAGGAATACTTATTCGCAGTGATCTGAGCTGGGCAGATCATGTGAATTATACACTAATTAAAGCATGGAAGGCTCTCCATTTCGTAATGCGTATACTAAAAAAGGGAAATAACAATACGAAACGTTTAGCTTATACGTCGCTAGTGAGACCGATACTTGAATATGGAGCTGTGTGTTGGGACCCTTACAGGGAAGGACAGGTAAGAGCACTAAATCGGGTGCAGAAGAGAGCGGCTAAATTTGCTAATTTCACGAACGAATCTGGTTGGGAAACATTGGCACAGCGTAGATTGATAGCCCGAATGTGCGCCCTTTTCAAAGCATACACGGGGGGCCGGGCTTGGAAAATGATAGAGGATAGATTATTAAAGCCATGCTACCTGGGCAGGGACGATCATACTCGGAAAATTAGGACTAGGAAACAAAGAACGGATGTAGGCAAATATTCCTTTGTAAATAGGACCATAAGAAGCTGGAACCAATTACCTCCAGGCGTGCTAGAGTCTTTCCCCTGTAAATTAGGCACCTTTAGAAAGAGGGTCAGAAAAGTAGTTACAAGCTAAGGGTTATTAAGTTGGGAATAAATGGTGATAAGTGAAGTGAAGTGTCTTAGTCTCCAAGTGATGAAGGGCTGTAGTTCTTTGGGATAAAATTTTCATGTACTGAGAGCGGACTTTATATTCCACTCTTAAGTATTGTGATTAATTAGTGGATGTGTGTTTTTTTATTGTGTGTCAGATGTTTTATTTTGAGTGTGGTATGTTGTATTGTTGTGTCTCATTGTATTGTTGTGTGAGTGCATCAGTTCATGACGTTTGTAATACATTACAGTTATTGTCTTATGTCTAGGTGGTATTAAGTTCTTTTTTTTAAGTTAAGTACTTGAGGTTGGATGGTTTTGTAATTTATGAGTTGGTTGATTTTGAGTGGGATGTGTTGTTTTTGTTGTGTCCTTTTTTATTGTTTTGTTCTGTCTCTGTGTTGATGTATCTCATTGTATGTTGTGTCTTATGGTTTTTGTTGTGTCCTTTGTTTATTGTTTTGTTGTGTCTCATTGTGTTGATGTATCCCATTGTTTGTGTGTCATATTGTTTTTGTTGTGTCCTTTTGTTTATTGTTTTGTTCTGTCTCTGTGTTGATGTATCTCATTGTTTATTGTGTCTTATTGTTTTTGTTGTGTCCTTTGTTTATTGTTTTGTTGTGTCTCATTGTGTTGATGTATCCCATTGTTTGGGTGTCATATTGTTTTTGTTGTGTCCTTTTGTTTATTGTTTTGTTCTGTCTCTGTGTTGATGTATCTCATTGTTTATTGTGTCTTATTGTTTTTGTTGTGTCCTTTGTTTATTGTTTTGTTGTGTCTCATTGTGTTGATGTATCCCATTGTTTGGGTGTCATATTGTTTTGTTGTGTCCTTTTGTTTATTGTTTTGTTCTGTCTCTGTGTTGATGTATCTCATTGTTTATTGTGTCTTATTGTTTTTGTTGTGTCCTTTGTTTATTGTTTTGTTGTGTCTCATTGTGTTGATATATCCCATTGTTTGGGTGTCATATTGTTTTGTTGTGTCCTTTTGTTTATTGTTTTGTTCTGTCTCATTGTGTTGATGTATCTCATTGTT